TTATTCCCCTTTGCCTCATCTTGCAGCTGTTGAATAGACTTTTCCTGGATCCTTGTTGATTTTACAAGATCCTTTCTTTCACGGTTGCTAGCTGCCATGCTGTCTTCAAAGTCTGAGATTCTATATTCAGCTTCATTAAAGCGATTTTGGTAGCTTTCAATGGAAGCTTTGTTTTCCTGGAAGTCTCTTCGAATCTGGTTCATGCGTTCTAAGTCCATTCTATATTTTTCATTTAACGCTTCTGTCCCTTGCCTTTGTTCTTCTATTCTCTTATATGTTTCTTCTTCAGACTTTTTGAGCAGTTCCTTCATTATTATTGTCGTTTCTTTTTTTGCCCGAGAGATTATTTCTGATCTAGTCTCTTCTATGGCCTTATGGAGTTGTTTCTTTACTTCCATTACAATCATTTCAGCTAATTCAGACATGTGTTTACCAAGTTCTTCTCTGTTGATGTCTCCTGAACTTGTTCTGAGTGGGGTGGAGTTTTGGGATTGTGTTTTATTCCTTCGTTTTGTCATGTTTGCTACCGGATGCAGAAAGCTCAGTTTCCCTCTTCAGTAGCTGCACAGAAAAGGCCACCAGTGTCTCTACTTTTCCTGTTGGTCAGGTTTGCCCGAGTGACCTCTAAGAAGTGTTACTTAGTCTTGGGTTTTCCGGCAGTTGTTGATTTGTATCTAGTTATCCCCGGTCAGATGCGGGCATTGGTTTCAGCTGATGGCTGACCATCTGATCCAGCGTCCCCTTGCAGTTTAGGATATGTGCACAGCCCAGACTTGGGTTGCACTTGTGTGACAATCCTGGTCTAATGGACCTATGTCTCCAGGTAGTTCAGGGTACAGGCAAAACCCAGACACAAACTGCAGGGTCGACAGTTTGTGAGCCACCTGATTCTGTGTCTCCAGTTAGTTCAGGACAAATACAGGAACCAGATGCAGGCTGGACGGGTAGCAATCACATACTGCCTGTGCCTTCGACCCCCTAGGGGGTCCCGGCGAATGTAAAGCACAGACTGAACCACAGGACCAGCAGCTTCCAGAGCACTCGCTCACTCGGTGCAGGGCGCACGGAGGGAGGGGCTACATGCCCCCCCCCCTCACGAGCCAGAGAAGTCCCTGGGGCTTCTGAGTGAGAACCTCCTCTCTGCTGCGGGTACGGGGAGGGCAGAGACTCAGTCTATAATGGCGGCGGGGTCCTTGGTCGCCCGCTCTGCTCTCAGGAAGTAGATGGGAAATACCTGGCTCTCTCCTCAAGTTTCAGCTGGGAACCGTGGCGGTGTGAGTAAAGCATGGACTTGAACCGCGGGACCAGCAGCTCTTGGAGCACTCGCTCACTCGACACAGGGCATACGGGTGCTGAGAGAGACCACATGCCCCTCCCCAGCCAGAGACGTCCCTGGGGTTTCTGAGTGAGGACCTCCTCTCTGCCACGGGTGCAGCAGGGGCAGAGACTCAGTCTGCAATCTATTAATGTTTTTTTTTGGTACTTTCCATAGGAAATGTAAACATTATGTACCACCAACAGTTACTAATATAAAAAAATTTTTTAAAGTAAAAATGTTTGATCACAGTGATTTAAAAAAAAGCATTAAATTCAGGAGGATCAAGTTACTTTTTTTTTTCTCTCTTTTTTTAAAATCTCATTTTTCGTTTATTTCTCATGTGGTACTGGAAATTGAGAATGTGCTAGGCAAGTGCTCTAACACTGAGCTACATCTTGAGCTGTTTGTATTTTATTTTGAGACAGGGACTTTCTGAGTTGTCTATTTTGGTCTCAAACTTGTGATCTTCCTGCCTCAGCCTCCTTAGTAGTTGGGATGATAGGCATGTGCCACCCACTCAGCTATTTATTATTTATTTTTGGTTTGTTTGAGACAGGGTCTTGCTGTCTCACCCAGGGTGGCCTTGATCTTAGCCTCCTAACTGGTTATTCATTTCTGACTATAGAGCGTTCTTTCTGTTACTACATTTATAAGCCCTGCATACATTTTTTTTTCCTTTGCTTTCTCTTTCATCTCTGTAAATTTAAAGTCAGTTGCTCTTTGTTGGAAAATATGGAAGGTTAACCCTTGTGACTGAATTTTGTAGACTTCCTATTTTGGAATATGGGAAGCCCAGAGATCTTCTGCCTGCTTCCTCTGTGTGCTGCACGCTATGGATTGTGCTCAGGACAGCCTGAAATGCTCCATTGTGTCACTCTCTCTCTTCATAGATGTCACTGGTGGTGTGTGTGTCAGAATACTGGGAGCTAGAGAGTACCCACGCACACGCACACGCCTGGCAGTGGGATAAAGTGTGTGTGTCAGAATACTGGGAGCTAAGAGTACCCACACACACGCACATGCCTGGCTGGCCGCTGGTGTCTCTGGATGCTTCTGTGTGCACTGCCCTCTCTTCCCCCTCTGGCTGAGAAACTGATAACCCTGCAAATGGAAACTGTCATTATCTTGGCTGAAGCAAATGCCCACAGTCTAACCCTGTGGTCTCTAGAGGTGGTGATTTCTTGGTTTTTTTTTTATGGTATTGGTGATTGAACTCAGGGCCTTTGTACCAAGACGTATCTCCATCGCTTTTTATTTTGTGACAGAATCTCACCAAGTTGCCAGTTTGGGCTCAAACTTTTCATCCTCCTGCTTTAACCTCCTAGAATGCCGAGGTTGCCCCAGTTTAGTTTTGATCCTTTTGCCTCAGCCTCTCAGAATGCTGAGATTACAGGCATGTGTTACCATATCCAGTTCATAGTTCTTTGATCTTACCTGGCCAGAATGATCTTTGGGATGCTTCATAATATGTGTGTGTATTTTTAAAAGTTATATTCTTCTACTAATAATTACCTACTTTAGAAAATGAATAAAACAACAATATAAATATATAAATCTAGGTATAAAGATAAATTAAGATGAGGGCCAAGTTGGGTGGCACATGCCTGTGAACTTAGCACTCAGGGGACTGAGACAGAAGGATCACTCCAAGTTCAAGGCTGGCTTGGCCTGTACAGTGAGTACAAAACCATTTTGAACTGCACAGGAAGACTGTATTAATCAATCAGTAAGTCAGTAAGTAGATAAGAATGAAAGGAAGCATAAAAATTCATATATGTGAGTGTAAATATAAAATGTAGTTAAATATGCAGAGTCCTTTTTGAAGACCGTAGGTCTCAATGGTAAATATTTATAAAACGTTGGTATTTTGGCTGGAATGAAATCAGTGAATTTTTCAATCTGAATGACAGATGTCTAGCTTTTACCATCACAAATATGATATTTGCTGGGAGAAGTGGAGCATGCCTGTAATCCCAGCACTTAGTTGGCCAAGGCAGGAGGATTACTGCAAGTCAATGCCCACTGGGACTGCGTAGTTAGTTCAAGGCCAGCCTGAGCTATATAGCAAGGCCCTATCTCAGAAAAACAAAGCAAAGCAAAGAACAAAAACCCCCAAATATGATGTTATCTGGGTCTTGGAGCAGACACCTATAATCCCACCACCTAGGAGACTCAGGCAGGAGGATCACCAGGAATTTATGGCCATTCTGGGCTACATAGCAAGACTCTGTCTCAAAAACAAAGTATCAGTTTAGAAAAACTTGAGTTGACAATAGATGTAATCGTTGTTTAGTTACCAGACATCATTTGTATTGTGGCACAACTTGTATTCTCCATGCAGCGTGTCATGGCATGGTGTTGTACACTGTAGTTCCACCTTCCAGAGAGCTGAGGTGGTGGTAGCACAGCTTGAGCCTAGGAGTTTGAGATTAGCCTGGGATAATTTGAGACTGGCAAAATCCTGTCTCAAAAAAGGGAAAGGAGAGGGGAGAGGAGGGAAGGGTAAGGGTGGGGAGGGGAGGCACTACACTTATTTGGCTGGGGTTTAAGTCAGTGGTAGAGCAAATGCTTAGCAGGCCTGTGGCCTGGGTCAATCCCTACCAAAGGATATTGACTGGAGACTCTCAGAAATTCCAGAAGTTTGAGGTTTCTAGCTATACTGCACTAAGATTTCAATCAGCTTTAAAAGGTATCACCATTGCCAGGTGTGGTGTGCACCTGTAATCCTAGCACTAGGGTGTCTGAGGCAGGAGGATCATGAGTATAAGCAAGATCCTGTCTCAGAAAACCCCTAAATAAATAAATAAGTGGTCAAATGGGACAGCACATGACTGTAATCCAAGCTGCTATGGAAGATCAGGTCAGAGTGTCACAAATTTGATCCTAGCCTAGGCAACTTGACAATTGAGATGCTTGCTCCAAAAAAAAATTTTTTTTTGTTTTCTGGAGACAAGGTCTAGCTATGTACTTCAGGCTGGCCTTGGACTCACTATGTAACCCAGACTGTCCTAGAACTTGAGGCAATCCTCTTGCCTCAGCCTCCCAAGTGCTGGGACTACAGGTGTGTGCCACCATGTAGAGCTGAAAAAAATTTTTTTAAAGGGCTCAGCAAGTAGTACAGTTTGAAAGTCCTGGGTTCAATCCACAGTACTACAAAATAAAGGTAAATAAAATGAAAAGGTAAATAAAATAAAAGGCAAAAAAAATTGACCAAAAACCATTAAAAAATCATCACAAAAACTGTTTGAAAGATGGATTTATATCCATTGTTATAAATAGTACATTTTAAGTGTATAATGAAATAGTAACTATCAAAGGCACTGCAGCTACACACAGTTGATAGGTACACAAACTTACACTAGGAAATCCTTAGCCATCTGGCAAGTTGGGAAACCCTTGCTCTAATCTAGAGGACACATTCTGCCAGTTGAACCTGATCTCAGGGCCAGAGCCAACGGTTACACTGGGTCAGGATTTACTGATCTGCCATTCCAGGAACAGTGTTGGGTAAATGTTGCTGCATGCTTCCAGCCCATCTGGCTTCATCTTTGCCCATTTTGAATAGATCATGTGGTTAGTTGCTCCTGCTCTGCAACTTGAAATTTCGTTGAACTTCTTCCCTGGACTCTGACCTCTCACTCTTACTTCCTATGCTCGCCTCGCCCGTGCTAACCTCCTGCAGACAGCGGGAAACTTCCCTTCATGGCCATGCTTCGGAACCTGTGCAACCTGCTGCGGGTGGGAGTCAGCGCCCACCACCATGAGCTCATCCTCCAGCGGCTCCAGCATGCGGTATGCCGTGAACTGCCCTGACAGCAAGTCTGCTATGAGACAAGTGGGGCTGCTTCTGTTGCTTCCTCTCTGTGTGAGACAGGGTCTCACTATGGACTTTAGGCTGGCCTTGAACTTGCCTCAGCCGCCCATTGCTGGGTACAGGCAGGCACCACCTCGCCTGGCTTCTTACTCCTCTTCCTCACCTCTTCTGTACTCTAGCATGCTGGCTTCTTCTTCCTGCTTTCTTCCCTGTATCTCCTGTAACCCCACCGTCCCCTTCCTTCCCTTCCCACAGACCTAACCAAGTAGTGACCCTCTTTTCTTGGTTCTGGCCCTGGTAGCCTCATCCTCCCTGGCCCTGTGCTCATGACCCTCCCTTGTACTGCAGAGGTCGGTGATCCACAGTCGGCAGTTGCCCTTCAGATTCCTTAATGCCCATGATGCCATTGATGACCTTGAGGCTCAACTCCACAATCAAGGTATTACCTGCCATCTAGCAGCCCCTGTCTGCCTCTGGTGTGTGAATGAGACGGCCCCACTGACTCATCATTCGTAGCCTCTTGCCTTGCAGATTCAGGGTGTAGATTGGGCAGGAGCCAGACTCGTACCTGCTCAGAGGGTCGGGCTCAGAACACGAGTGGTGGGATGGGGTATGGGAGCAGAGGCCTGACTCAGTATGTGTCCCTCACCCCACAGCATTGCCCTTTCCTTCTAATACAAAGCTGCTGAGGCGGATAATAATTAGAAACTCAAAGTGTTTCAAGACATATCCACGGTATCTTTGCAAGCTGAGTCCACGGAAGCTTCGAGCAGCAATGATGATCCCTGTGATATATAAGCAGGTCAAGCAGGAGAAGCTGAAAATACACAAGGCCAGGTGTGTGTGTGTCATCCAGGGGCCACGCCTGAGTGGCAGGAGGTGTGCTGGCAGGCTTGGGGGTCATCTGGGAACTCTGAGTAGTGAGTTTGCATCTTCCTGACTGCCCCGTTCTGGCAGGCTGAGAAGCCCCTGAGTGACTGTCTGTGTCTTTCTTGCTCTGCAGACAGCACACATGTGACATCGAGCTGCTAGACCGGTACCGGCAGGCCCTGGAGGTGGCTGTGAACCTCTCTGTGAAGCACAATCTGCCGCCGCTGCCGGGCCGCACCCTCTTGGTGTACCTCACAGACGCCGGTGCAGACCAGTTCTGTGCCAAGAGCAACGCACAGGGGGTAAACGGCCGAAGCGTGCTGCGAGGGGCTGGGAGGGTGCTGGGAGGCCTGAGAGGTGTCCTGACCCCAGCCCTAGTGTCCCACAGAGGCACGCAGATTGAACAGAATAATGTAGATTTGCTTCCAAATAGCAGCCCTTCGCGGCCTAGGGAGAATTCCTAGAAAGTGATGTGGATCCTGTTTATGGCTTATAGCACTAATGTTGCACCTTTCAGCACTTAACATTTAGCACTAAATTTCTGTTCACAAAAGTATATCTCATTCTCATCAGACTGCACCCCAGCGCTGGATTTGGGAAGGGAGTCTGGCTTCTCCCTACTTCTCCTCACAGCTCTTCTTGAGGGCGGCAGAAGCCGGGCGCTCCTCACTGCCGATTTTGTCTTCCTCCCCTTTATCCCAAGCGAGGGGAGGTGCGTGGCCTCCGAGGTGGGTAGACAAGTGTGGATTGAAAGTAAAGGAGATGTATTTCACCCTGATGCTTATGTGACCAGCCCCCCCTGAACTATGTGCTGCTACTGATTGCAATGATGGTGGCGCGGGCAGAGCAGGCAGAGGTCACGCTGTGCGGACGCGGCACTCTGAAGACAGCCGAGCTTGCGGCCCAGGGAGGCCTCCTGAAGACTGCGCTCAAACTACGGGCCCAAGTCGAGGTCAGACACCCACCCCCACCCCCTCCCAGGGCATGAGTGGGCAGAAGCCTGGGAGCCTCCCAGGTGGTAAAGGCCTGAATGTGCAGTGTTGAAGATTCCCCAACAGACCATGATGCTTCTTATTTATTGCTTGTGTTAGTCTGTCTCTCATCCCTGAAAGGTGTCAGGCAGGGTATCTGCTTAAACCTTCTTCCCAGATTTATTTCCTGCTCAGTTGTTGAGACATGAGAGTGTGACACAGGCCTCAGCTTGGCCCAGGTGAGGCTCTCATGGTGGTTGGGGCATGTGAGAGGAGGAGATCATCTCCTTGAGATGGAAAGCCGGAGAATGATTCCTGGGTCAGGCTTGGGCTTTAGAACAACTTGTTCATGCAAGACCCTAGTGGTCTCACAAGGGCTGCCTTAGTCCCACAAGCCAGGTCCCCCAGGACCTCCTTCTAGGCCCCACCTCTTCCTACCTTCATTGGATGGAGTTTCCAGCCCCTTCTTATGACAGAAGATTTCAAACTATGAACCCCGGGGGACACACAGTTCATATGGGAACTCGAGCATTGCTTCTCTCATGTGCAGCCAACTGGTAACATGAGTCTGTTTCCTTCAGGAGTTAGAGGAAGGGGATGAGCAGCCCCTGGATACTTTTAAGAAGTACCTGCTTTCTCTGGCCGTCCGAAGGGTCCCCGTGAGTACTGCTCAGCCCCTGTGACTCTCTCCCCTCCTGCTCCATTTTCCTCTACCAATGATGCATCTCTTGACCTCTCAGAGCTGATCTTTCCCAGTTTGGACAGCATCTAGGCCTGCTCCTTGATGACTCCATGCTGGTCCTCCGTAGTGGAGGATTTCGGCACCAGCATTCTGGAAAAATCCATCTTGCTTAGCCGAGTTTGCTAATTTCCGTGGTGTGAGTAGTTGCACTGTGGCCGATTTTGGGCTACCAACGTCATGTCCCTGAGCACCGAGTGGGGAAGAAGTACTCAGCTGCGCAACACTGTGTCGTCCCATCACTGGCAGGGAGGTACATGAGGTCGAGAGTGGAAATAACAAAGTATAGTAAGATTGTCAGGAGTGCCGGATGTGGAGGATTGATTAACTTGGTCACATATACCTGAATAACACTTTAATGGTGCTGGAGAGTGGACCTAAGGTCTCATATGTGCTAGGGAAGTGTTTTATCTCAGACCTACCACCCATGAGCCCTTTATCTCATTTTAAACTTACACAATTTAATGTATAAAATGTGCATGTTGGGGCAGGGTGTGGATCAATAGCAGAGCATGTACTTAACATCAGGAAGGCCCAGAGTTCAATGCTAGGCATGTCAATCAATAAATAGATAGATGGAGTAAATGGTGATGTTCAGCAAGTCCACAAAATTCCTAAAAAGTATACATTCAGCTCTTGTGAGTGTGAATGAGCGGCTATAGCACACCACGTCCCTTCCCCAACCTACACTGTGATGTCTCAATCAGAATCCAGGGCCTTCCTTGATTCCTAAGTATTCTCAGCAGAGACAGTTTCCCACTGCCCTCAGACTTCTTCCAATCTCCCATTCTTAGAGATGTTGATTTCAGTGTCCTGAGCTCTTTAGTGTCTCTTCTCCCACTGTTCCTGGGCTCACCCCTCCCCTCTTGTCTTACAGGTGGACAGGGTCATTCTCTTTGGCCATGTGCTGGGTCGCCCAATGCTACTTGTAGCCTCTCACCTTATCTGGCAGCATGTGAATTCCAATTGTCTCTTTGTTAGTGTCCTCCTAAAGAAAACAGATAGGTAAGGATCCCTGAATGCCCTGCCCATTGTCAGAAGGCAGTGATTCAGGTTTCTTCTCCTGCCATAGCTTAGGAAATCCCACTTCTCTGACACATCCTGTCGCTTTGCTTTCTTAATTCTGGTGCAGTTCAGGTTCCAGAACTTTCTCTGAAGTCTTTATGCTCATTCTCTACCCTCTTGTGCAGGTGTACCCTAACCCTATCCCAGACGTGGCCATGTGTGTGTGTGTGTGTGTGTGTGTGTGTGTGTGTGTGTGTCCAGTGCTGGGAACAGACGCAGGGCCTCGTGCACACCAGGTGTGTGGCTTACCACTGAGTTACATCCCGGCCACACAGCCCTGTTAAGAGTGCAGCTGTGGGAGGTAGGGCATCCATCCTGTGCATTTCAGGCAGAGATGCTGACCCAGGCGTTGTTTCTGGTGCTCAGTGACTGCTTTCCTTTCTCAGATGTGCAAGTTGGAATCCCAATGTCGTGACGCTCTCAGGCTGTACAGATGGGATACTGAAGTAAGTACAAAGTAGATGCTGGAGGGAAAGGGCAGCCTTCCTTAGAATGTCTATGAGAGATTATCTGTGCCCTCTACTCCATTCACTTCTTTTTTTGAGCAGTAAAATAATGTGTATTCCTGTTTTAGGATTAACTAGTTCTAGCAGCAACACAGAGTTACAGGGATTGAGGCACTTGCTGTCTCGCTGCTGTACTATCCTGGACAGCATTCTACCTCACGGCTCAGGATGGCTGTTTCAGCTCCAGCCGTCTTTGTATCCAGCCAAGTTTGTATTGGATCCAGGAGAAAAGAAAAAGGACACATGGGGGATTACAGTGTTGGTTTTTAAAGAAACGACTCAGAAGTTGGTCATAGCACTCTGTGGCGTCTGTTCAATTCTTGATCCAAAGAAAATTCCGTCTGTTTATGCTGAATTGCAGAAATGTTTTTACTTTGTCTGTTTCTCTATTCTTAGCCTTATTATTTTAAAATATGGCCCTAAAGATTGAACCCAGGGCCTTCACGTTGAGTTATGGCCAAGCCTTTTTAAATTTTTAAATTTTGAGACAGGGCTTTACTAAGTGACTAAATTGCCCAGGTTTGGTTTGAACTTGCCATCCGATGGCCTCAGCCCCTCAGTGTGCTGGGGTGACAGGTGTGCACCCCCTCACCTCCTTGCCTTCCCTTGTCTTCCCCCTTGCCTCTTTGGATGCCACCGTTTGCCCTCAACTCCCATGAAGAGGCCTCAGGCACATCTACTCCCTTCTCGGCTGGTCAGAGGCGATATAGCCCATCCTGGGATGGTTTGACCCGTACGCCTTAGCCCAGCCCAGTTTTCCCTGGTCCTCCAGAAATCTTCATGATTGCCGTGTACAGGTGGAGGCCTGGAGCGGGGTTTCTTTCTGTCCATTCCTGTGGTGCTGTGGTGTCATTTATTTTAACTGGGCCTGCTTATAGCTTTGTTCCCTGCCCTTGGAAGAGCTTTCTGGTCCTGACATCTAATAATCTCCTCTCATTTATTTTGTTCTTAGGTTCATTGCAGAGCGTGGAGCCTCACGTCTTCTAGAACATGTGGGCCAGATGGACAAAATATTTAAGATACCACCACCCCTAGGAAAGACACAGTCCCCAACTCTCCAGCCGCTGGAAGAGGACACTCTCAGGCCCGTAGCTCCTGTGTCGCAGCATGGGTCAGTCTGTGTCTCTGTGTCTGGGGAGACTATCTGACTGACCTCCTATCTGTTGAGACACCATCATCCTAGTGATTCAGATGTGCTCTCTCCTTCTCAGGCGGGGGGTCCTCTAGCACTGGAATAGTCATGTTGAGAACTTGTGCTTTTCTCTGCTGGGGAAAGGGTAGTGAAACTGCAAGGAAAGCAGCCAGCACTGTGACCATTGAGCCAGGGTTTAGGCAAAGCACTTAGGAGCTCAGCCTCTGGATTTTTCATCCTGATTTAGCCAAATGGTAGCTTGAACCTTAGGCCAATTGCTTAGATTTTAAAACTATACTTTCTTTGTGTGCAGTGTGGGGGATTGGACTCACAGGCTCACACACGCTAGGCAAGAGCTGTACCACTGAGCTGTACCCTCAGCCCCCATATTTTTTACTTTCTGACACCTTCAGGCTCCCCCCGCCTCCGGTACCGGGGGACCTTGCACTTGCCAGGCAGGTGCTGTGCTGCTGAGCTAAATCCCCAGTGCCCCCCATATTTTTTTACTAATTAGGTTTATTCGTACATTTTAATGTGACAATAATCACATTCATTTGTTTTTTTTTGTTTTTGTTTTTCTCCGGTACCGGGAACCGAGCTCACGACCTTGCGCTTGCCAGGCAGGCGCTTTTGCCGCTGAGCTAAATCCCCAGCCCCTAATCACATTCATTATAGGGAATTTGTACCTGTATGTGATACAACTTGATTCTTTTTTTTTTCCTAATCCCCTACCCTCCCTTCAACCCCCTTTCACAAAAGGTTTGTTTTGGTTTTTCCTCGTGTTCTCATCATGTTTTTCCTTTCCCTTTCCTTCCCCTTTCTCCCTCCCCAGTTCTCCTTCCCATTTGACAGTTTTATTCCTAATTTCACAATATCTATTACACATTTTGATCTTTATTTACACCTTTGTTGTTTCACACCAGAGAACAATGCGATATTTACACATGTGTCTTATTTATTTCACTTAAGAGAATGACCTCACTGTGCATCCATTTAGCTAGAAATGTGTCAGCCTTATTCTTCTTCAGCAGCGTAGTACTCCATTGTATGAAAAAAATCCCAAATCTTTTATCCATTCATAAGTTGATGGGCATTTGGTCTGTTTCTGAGATTTAGTTATTCAAAACTGTGCCGGTATAAACATGGTTATTCATATATCACTATGGTGCAGTGTTTTCACTTCTGAGAAGATACCTAGCGGGGGAATAGCTGGGTTGAATGAGACCTCTAGTCCTAGTTTTTTGAGGACTCTCCACACGGATTTCCACAGTGGTTGCACCAGTCTATACTGCTCCCAGTGGAGAAGGCTTTCTTTTTCCCCATACCTCTACCAACATTTCTTATTGACTTCTTGATAACAGCCATTCTTTCTGAGGTGAGATGGATTCTCAGCATTGTTTTAATTTGCATTTCACAAATGACCAATAATGTTGAACATTTTTTCACATATTTATTTGCCATTTCTACTTCTTCATCTGAGAAGTGTGTATTTATTTCACATGCCCTTTTTTGGATTGGGTCTTTAAATTTGGGGTGTGCTATTTTGAGTTGTGTATTGTAGGTAGTAGTCTTTTGTTGGAGAAACAGCTGGCAAAAGTTTTTTCCCACACTGTAGATTGTCTCTTCAGTCTGTTGATTTCTCTTGCTGTGCAAAAGCTTTTAGTAGGAGAAGATCCCAGTTATTGATTCTTTGTGATAGTTTCTGTTACACCAGGCTTTTGTTCATAAAGTCTTTGCCTACAGAATTGTCTTCAAGACTTCTGCCTGTGCTGTCTTCCAGCAGATTTAATCTTTCTGTTTTGACATTTGTCTTTGATCCATTTCAATTTTAGTTTTGTGCATTGTGAGAGACACATGTCTAGTTTTAGTCTTCAGCACTGGTTGGGGCAGAGCCAGTTTTTCCAGCACCACATGTTAAAGAGCCTCTCCTTCCAGTGAATGTGTTTGGCAGCTTTGACAAAGGTAAGGTGGCTCAGTGTATTGAGGTGTTTCTGCATCTCATGTTGTATTCCATTGACACATGGGACTTTTTTTGGCCAGTACCATGCTGTTTTTGTCACATGGGCTTTGAAGTATAATTTGAAGTCAAGGATTGTCTTGCCCCTGCCTTGTCTTTGTTTCCTAGAATTGCCTGTGCTGTTCTAGGTCTCTTCTGGATCCAAATGAGTTTTAGGATTGTTTTTCTGTAATTCTGGGAGATATGCTGTAGGAATTTTGATCGGAATTGTATTGAATCTGTATAACAATGTTGGAAGTATGTCCATTTTCGCTATATTGGTTCTTCCTACCCAAAGCAAGGGATATCTTTCCATTTTCTGATACTCTCTTCAATCTCCTTTTTGACGTTTTTGTAGTTTTCAATGTAGAGGTGTATTCCTTCATTAGATTGATTCCTAAGTATTTTCATTTTTTTTTGGTTGCTATTGTGAAAGGTGTTATTTCCCTAACTATCAGGGTCCTGTCCAAGATCCCCAACTGCCTGTTTGAGGGGTATGGCCCAGGATGCACAAACAGCAGAAGCAAATTCAGTAATTCATAAATGGGGGCTGGAAGGTCAATGCCTTAGGATTGGCAAAGACAGAGACTCTCTAGCTTGCTAATGTTTTATTAGCCAGTGCACGGGGAGGGGCAGGGTGCTCTTCCTAGAACAGAGTAGAAGTAGTAGTGGATTGGGCAAGTTTAATGTCATAAGAGAAACCAGGAAGATCCATCCCTACACCTGGATACCCGCCCTCCCTGTACTCCTGTCAGCATGACTCATCCTGCCCTGGGAGCACCACAGCCTCATTGACCCATCAAATCTCAGTGGTAACCAGGAGAAAGCAGGTTTCTGCTAAGATTGGCCCACAGTGCAGGGTAAAGAGGGCCTTCCCAGATTCTCTGGTCGATGTAGAATTGACAGTCCCCAGCACCTCTCTTAGTGAGTTTGTTATTCATGTACTGGAAGGCAACTGATTTTTTTTAGTGTTGACTTTGTATCCAACTATGCTACTGAATTTGGTCATGAAATCCAGAAGTCTTTTGGTGGAGTTTTTGGGGTGTTCTAATGCAGAGTATCATGTCATCCACAAATAAAGATAATTAAATTCTTCCTTACTTATCCTTAATTCTTTTTATTTCTTTCTCTTGTCTAATAGCTCTGGCTGATGTTTTCAGAACTATACTGAATAGTGGTGACAGTGGACATCCTTGTCTTGTTCCTCATTTTAGAATGAAAGCTTTGTGCTTTTGACTAATATGGTGGTAGCTGTTGGTTTGTCATAGATGTCTTTTATCAGATTGAGATAAACACCATCTATTCCAATTTCTGTGAGATTTTTATCATGAGTAGGTGCTGGACTTTGTCAAGTATTTTTTCTGCATCTGTTGAGATAACAGTTTTTGTCGGTGGCTCTGTTATATGATATATTACATTTATTGATTTGTGTATGTTAAACCATCCTTGTATTCGTGGGATGAATCCCACTTGGTCATGGTGTATAATTTTCTTGATGATTTGCTGCATTCTATTTGCTAGTATCTTATTGAGGATTTTTGCACCTATGTTCATTAGGGAGAGAGGCCTATAGTTCTTTTTCTTGATTGGATCCTTCTCTGATTTTGGTATCAGGGTAATGCTTCCAGGAATGAATTTGGGAGTATTGCTTCTTTTACAGTTTCATGAAGAGTTTGTCAAGTAGTGGTATTGGGTCTTCTCTAAATTTTTTTTTTCCCCCCCCGGTACCAGGAATCGAACTTACGACCTTGCACTTGCCAGGCAGGCGCTGTGCAGCTGAGCTAAATCCCAGCCCCTTCCTCTCTCTCTCTAAATTTCTTGTGGAATTTAGCAGTGAATCTGTCAGAGCCTGGGCCTATCTTTGGTAGCAGGTTTTAATTACATCTTCAAGTTCATTGACTGATTGATATTGGTGTATATAGAGTATATGTATCTTCTTGATTCAGCTTTGGGAATTTGTTTGTGTCCAGGAATCTGTCCATTTCTTCTGCATTCTCCATCTTATTACAATATAAGTTCTCAAAGTAGTGATAGATGAACTTCTGGATTTCTGCAGGCTCTGTTGTGGTCTGTCCCTTTTCATTCCTAATTGCATGGAATTCAGTCACTTTCCTATTTTGGATAAGGATGACTAGTAAGAGTGCATTGATTTTATTTAATCTTTCCAAGAACCAACTCTTCCATTCATTGTTTGTATTTTTTTCTTAAGTCTCCACTGCATTAATTTCTGCTCTGATCTTAATAATTTCCTCTGTTGTATGAGCTTTGGGCTTGACTTGCTTTTCTTTTTCTAGAATTTTTGTTTTTGGAGACAGTCTTCTTAAATTGTCCAGCCTGGCCTCAAACTCACAATCCTCCTGTCTCAGCCTCCTCAGTTGCTGGGATTACAGGCCGTATGACCAAGCCTGGCAAAGCTATAGTTACTTGATTGGTAGGCTGGGAATGATAAGAGTGTGTACCTTATAGTGTTATGAAGAAATAATAAATGAATATAATGATTGGCTGAGAAGGAGGGGTAGAGGAGAAATGGCAGTTGGGGCTTAGATTCCAGGGCTGTGCAGCTGAGACCACAGCAGTTTATTCTACAGGTTCCCACGACACCCTCTGCAGTGTCTGGGGGTTTGAGAGAGGGCCCTATCCACAGGCTGAGCCTCACCCTCTGCTTACCCGCAGCTGGCGCAGCATCCGGCTGTTCATTTCCTCCACTTTCCGGGACATGCATGGGGAGCGGGACCTGCTGCTGAGGTCCGTGTTGCCAACATTGCAGGCCCGAGCTGCCTCCCACCACATCAGCCTTCACGGCATCGACCTGCGCTGGGGTGTCACCGAGGAGGAGACGCGGAGGAACAGGTGCGGGCAGGAGGGCCGGGTCAGGGAAGAGGGCTTCCAGGGGCGGAACCCAGGTAGGCAGGGCCAGGCTGCAGGAACAGATGAGGGTTGGGGCAAGGAGTTGCTCCTGGTGCCAACACGAGTGGCTCTGCCTTCTTTCTGCTGTGTGAGCCCACGCCCTGTCACTGCTTGTGTGTCTGTATTCCCTGCCTGGAGCCCCGGTGACCCCTACATGTTACTGTAACCATGCCTACAGACAGCTGGAGGTGTGCCTTGGGGAGGTGGAGAACTCGCAGCTGTTCGTGGGGATTCTGGGCTCCCGCTATGGCTACGTTCTCCCCAACTACAACCTTCCTGACCATCCTCACTTCCGCTGGGTAAGGCAGCTGAGTGTGGAGCGGGGGCTGGGCAGGAACCTGGGGGTGAGGCACGGTTTGTCAGGAGCACTGGGAGTGCAGTGCAGGCAGAGGACTCTGCAAGTGAGCAAGGTTTACGTGCGGAGGCTCCTCTGAGGAGTGGGTCTGTGGGGTTTCGCCATACAGCAGGTCTGAGTTCTAAGGTCCCTTCTGTTGTTTGTAAGTGTCGTGGGAAGCAGCTTCACATAACCTATCCTCAGTTTCCCCACATATTAAACAGAAGGAAGAACATCTATATTCAGGGCCATGATAAAAATTACAAATCAGTTTCAGAAATTCACAGTACATGTCATGCATTCAATGGTAGCTGTTAGCTCTGTTTCACAGCTTGGGTTTGGATGGAGGGAGGAACTCCGCCGATGCGAGGGGCTGCTGAGGCCCTGGGGGTTGCGAGGGAAGGAGTAATGGGACCTAGGACTGAACCTGCTATCTCTGCCCTTTCCCTGCAGGCCCAGCAGTACCCGCTGGGCCGCTCTGTGACGGAGATGGAGGTGATGCAGTTCCTGAATCGGGATCAAGGCCTGCAGCCCTCTGCCCGGGCTCTCATCTACCTCCGGGATTCCAGTTTCCTCAGGTGCCTCCCGTTGCCCCCAGGGCCAGGTCTCCCTCCCCACCAGCCAGGCAGGCTCAGGTGTGGCACTGAGTATGGGAGAGGTGGGCTGACTCCTCTCAGAGAGAAGCAGGACTCAG